CTAGTCAGGGGTGGGAGGCGCCCGGGTGGGGGCCGGGGCACAGGACCGGGGGCCCTGGAGGACTCCGCAGTCCTTTTCTCCTTTCTCCATTTGGGAACATTGTAACATTCTCGGCTATTGTTTGCAGTCATTCTCATAAACTTAAGTGGATTTTGGAGTGTAAAGGGCACTTAGAGTCAAAATTTTAGGGTCTTAATTAAAAATGTACTTTCTTAAATATATATATATATATATATAACAAATAAAGACATAAATAGCATTTATAGATAATGAAATATAAGATTCATATTTATACTTGAAAGTGAATGAATTTCTATTTAAATATATTTATGGAAAATATGAAATAAATTTGTAAAAATGTTTATAAAAATAAAACATGTAAAGCCTGGGGTGAGAAGAGTAGAGTTTATGAGGCTGGGTATTAACAAGCCTTACTTTTTATAAGCAAGATTATTTTTGGAGGAGAAAATAAGCCCATCCTCTGTAGCAACTGGGTGTTTAGCTCAGTACATGGTGGCGCCGGGCAGGGACGGGGGGGGGCGGGGGGGGGGGGTCCACGCGGAGTAAACGCTAACCGTCTGTCCCCTGGGCCCAGCTGCTGTGGTGGTTCCGGCCACGCCTGATCCTGAGTGGCCACACGCACAGCGCCTGTGAGGTGCTGCACCGCGGGGGTGTCCCCGAGATCAGTGTCCCGTCTTTCAGCTGGCGGAACAGAAACAACCCCAGTTTCATCATGGTAACGTGAAAGTTTATTTTCATCTGAAAGCTTTCATAGGTATATAAGTCAACACAGTAATCAACTATTTAATTGCTGCAATCTGTAAGAAGGTACAAAAGCCAGAAATCAGTGAGCCTCCTACACACCATGGTGTGTCACTCTCCCGCGTCCCAGCAGCTGCGTGGGAACAGATGAGCAGAGCTGGGTCCTGGGGCAGTTACCGCAAGCAGCATCTCCTGGGTGTGCCTTGCCCCGTGCAGAGGGCAGTGTTTGCCCATGTCACACTCTGAGTGTGACATTTTCTAAGGAGGCAAGATCTTGTCACTTGTCACCAACACTCGATTGTCTCATTCTGCAAACGCACTCGTTTGCCCCGGCAGACAGTGCTGCCACGTCTGCGGCTGATGGACAGTGTTGGTCCATCAGTGACGGCTGGAGTGACCACACCCTGCTTTTGGTCATGGGATCCTGCGCCTGGCTCACGGATGCTTTTGTGGCAGGTGCTTTACTTCATGAAAGGTGGGGGACCCTCGTATTGTCAAATTCCCAGTGTATGAAAACATTCTCCACTGTCCTTCCACACTGTGCACTGGCGACCAGGGGAAGCCCGTGGGGGCCGGGATGTGACTCAGGGGCGGAGCGCTGGCCTGGCATGACAAGGACCTGGCTTCCATCCTTAGCACCGCAAAAAACAGAGAGTAGCCTGTGGACAAGTGTGGGCATGCGTGTGTGGGCATGGAGTGGCATGAGAACACCCTTATCTGCCTGTTCCAAGCTGACCATTGCTCCCTGGTCTCTGACGCGCTCTGAATCTGTATCAGGCGCCCCCCATTCTTTGGTGGGAGCCCCCAGCTCCGGGGTGAGTGCGAATGGCGAGATCCATCCGCATGGCCATCCCCTCCCCCAGGCACGCCTGCCTCACCTCCTCTTGCCAGTGCTTGTGTGGGCAGGTGGCGGCAGCGCAGGCCGAAGGCCCTGATCCCTTGGTCTCGGGTGGGAGGGCTGCCCCAGCCTCACCAAGAGACCCCTTCAGGGCAGACTTTCCCCTGGCGCTAAGTTGGGCTGCTGTGCTAGTCCTCTGCAGAAAGAGTACCTTCCTATTTCTTTTCCAGGGCAGCTTCACGCCCAGAGACCATGCCCTCTCCAAGTGCTTCCTCCCCCTGGAGGGCACAGTTCTGAGCACGTACTGCGCAGCCGCAGGGCTCCTGGTGGTCCTCACCTTCGCCCGCCTGGAGTGCCTAGCCTCGCCTTTCCTTTCCGTTTGGACCCTGCTCAGAATGCACATGGCCCGGTGAAGAGCGGTGCTGGCTGCGTGCCATAGCGAGTGCCAAGCCAAAGACCCGGCTCCTGCAGGACTCATGGGGCTCAGGCCAGCCAGGCTGGCTGTGGGCCTGCGCACATCAGGGGAGGGCTGAACCTCTGAGGAGTGACTGTGGAATAAACCGCTGATGGTCCTCGTGCGATAAAAATGGAACACGTACTCTATAACAGCCTGCTTACCGAACGTAGGTGCAATCGGAGGTGGCATCTGTCCAGCACAGAGGTGCCCGATACCGCTCCTTGCATGATGCACCACCCTGCTCCCCAGGAGGCACCCGCGCCCTGGTGCACGCTCAGGCTGACAAGGGCACATGCATATTGAGTGTGCTTCTGTCCTTCTGTGAAGTGGCTCTCAAATTCCTACATCCTATGAAGCCCTAAACTTAGAACTACAGATGCAATGTGTGGGGGCACATGGTTGATTCTTATAGACTTCTGTACTTCTATGGGAAACTAATAGAATCAGTTTTAGGTGAGTAGATTTTCCGTCTAGGAGACCATGTTCTTACATCTGAATTCAATGCCCGTTAATGATCAAAAATTGAAAAAAATGGAGTGCTGATATATGGCTTTTAGTATTAAAAATGAATATTTTGATAATTTCAAGTCAGATGTCATGTCTCCTTGTTTTTGTTTCCTAAGAGTCTGGCTCTGTTTTTAATTCCAGCTTTTGTTATTTGTTTGTTTATTTGGGGTGGTGCAGGGGACTGCACCCTGAGCCACTCCCCCGCCCTCTCCAGTTCCTAAGTCATACTTGGTCAGGGGAGTTGCCTAGTGGTAAGGAGTTGTAAGGAGAGGACAGCCTTCTACAGCTTCACTTGTTTTTGGTGGATGTGTATCTCTTCAGTTTTCTTCCTCCCCTGTGAAAGCAGAAGGGGACCTGAGACCATCTGCATTTCAGTTCCACTGCGTCTTAGGCCACCGTCGGGAATCAGAGGAGCGCGAAGATGGGGATGATGAGATAGATAGCCTATCTGGGAAGCTGTCATGGTCCATGGGAAGTGACATCTAAATCTAGTTGAATTCCTACATGATCATAGAATGCTGATCCACAGAGTGTACTTGAATATATTAAAGACTAAAAGAAAAATAATGAACTGACATAGGCTGTCCCTTCTCTGGACCTGTACTGTTGAAAGTTCAGTTCTGGACATCTTTACAGATTGTCGCAGGACGACCGAGAAAACCAAACCTGTGGCTGTGGATGGAACTGAAGCACCATTCCCGTGGCGATTGAGCCTTCTTTAGGGGTCGTGCCAGGATGTAGCTCTTGAGGCTGCATTTGAGAATCTTGCACAACAGCCATACGTTCTGCCTTCATATTTCAAATAAAGGTTCTGTGGGGTGGGGTGTAGCTTAGTGGGAGAGCACCTGCCTGGCAGGACAAGGTCCCAGCTTCCATCCCCAGCATTGCAAATAAAAATGATTTTAAAAAAAGATTTTATAATGTTTCATCTTCACAAGACAAATGAAGATGCAACCCTTTTCCTCCTCATCCGGACGCAAACACAGATTCCGCTTTGCTTTTCTCTTGTTATCTGTTGACTCGCCTGGTGGAGTCTATGCCCAAAGCTTTGGCTATGGGGATGGTGGTCCTGTTCCTACCTGGGGAACTTGAAGGAGTCTTTAACTAGCAAAGTAATCAAAAAACATTGACTGGGAAGGAAAAATAAATCCCTAGCTCTTGGAAAGGTGATGTTGTGATCTGTACCCCAGAAGGGAGTTCAGGATTTTGCAACTGAGACCCAGAGAAGCACAGGCAGGTGGCTGAGGCAGTGTTGGGACAACGTTGTTGTTGAGGATGACATATAATTCACAATTTCTTGGAACCAAGGGATATCTTACAAAGTCCCAGGCTGATGAGAATGTCGCCAAAGCTACAGATACCATTCGTTCCCTCTTACGGAGGAAGCAGCAGGTCAGGATGACATCAGGCTGATCAGCACTACTGAAACACAGGTCCTTTACAGGGAGAACCATCATCCAAGGCACAAAAATCTACAAGGAGTTTTCTTTAGTAGTGATACAAAAGAATATTACATTTTGTGGTCTGTACAGTGTAATAAACCAGCAATAAACCAACAGTGAAAGGAATATATGAAAGAAGACTCCACCCAAATATAGTGAAAGCATAAGGGATCTTTTTTCCAGACAGGACAGGTTTTCTAATAGTGAATGTGGCAGGTGTTCTGCCTAAATGCCAAAGGCTCAGAGGAGCTCTAATTCAAGTGCCTGAGGCTGTCAGCGAGGGCAAAGGAGACTGAAAAAGGGCTTCTCAGCTGGGTGTGATGGAGGTGGAGGCCAGAGGATCGAAAGTTCAAGGCCAGCCTCAGCAACTTAGTGAGACCCTGTCTCAGAATTAAAAAATAAATAAATAAATAAAGAGAGCTGGGGGTGTGGCTCAATGGTAGAGCACCCCGGAATCAATCAATTCCTAGTACTGCCAAAAAAGAAAAAAAAAAATCTCTGCTTGGTTGCTCAGGGTCTCCTCCATGCCTTGGGCCAGCCACCTGCTGGCCTTCCTCAAGGGAAATCAGAGGCCCCTGGCTCGGGGCACTTTGCATATGCCTTTGCAATCATGCTGAATAACTTGAAGAAGGAAAAAAAAAAGCACTTTCTCCATCTACCTACAGGGTCTTGGTGAGTCAGTCGACAAGTGTGTGACAGGGGTCCCCACCCAGAGAGGGCTCCCTGCAGCATCAATGGGTGAGTGGGAGGTTCTGCAGCAATGCAAATCTGGGGGTGGAGGTTGTGTTCAGTGAAAACCAAGCAACAGAACTAAACCCGGGGGGTGGAGGTAGCCAGAGGCTTGGTGGGACACACCCAGGGCAGGACAGACAGCAGCCAGAGGGGACTAGACACTCACTACACCCTACCATGGCTTGGATGGATGAACACACAGTCTGGCCACTCGTTGGGGTGGCAAAAGGGATGGGGGCAGCAGAGGGACAGGGACAGTGGGCCTCACAAGAGTTCGTACTGCTTGAGGTGCATCCTCTGGATGATGTCACGGCAGTCGTTGAAGACCCTGCGGATGTTCTCTGTGTCCACGGCGCAGGTGAAGTGCGGGTAGCAGTAGTGCTTGCCATCCCCAGTGGCTGTGCTGATCCTCTGCAAGAGAGAGCCAGGGCTGAGGGCCGGGTGGGCCCATGCACTCGGGGCGGGTCGGGAGCACCTGGCAGGAGGTGCCTGGACAACCCGGAGCTTACCTCTGCCCACAGGTGATCCCTGCTGAGCTGGAGAGATAGCACCCAGGTGCTGTCCAGCCTCAGGAGAGGCAGGCTAAGGTTTCCAGAAATGGGCACCTAAGCATGGTGTGCTGGAACACACGTCACGTTCTCCTCTGTCCTGTCTACTGCTCATGGTGCAACCCAGGGACTGGCCTTAGCTGACGTACTTTTAATAAGCTTATTAAACATCTGGTGTGACTGGCGGTCCAGCAGTGGGCAATGCACCGGTCACAAGGACTCCTGCTCACAGATGGTCTTCAGCATTTGCTGATGGTGCCCTGGGCTGGCAGTGGAATGTCTCCTGGCAGTCTGGGAGCACAGCACCTTGTTGTCCAGTAACTTGGGGGATGCAGGTTAAAGATCCCTGATCATGATGCCTAGAGTCACAGGCTCACGCACACCCTGAAGCTGCATGGGTGGATGAGAAGTGGGCTGTGGCTGAATCTGAAGTCTGAACCGGCACAAGTGGTGTGCTACCAAGAAGAAATTGGACACAGACACAGGGAGTCCACAATGAGGAGGAGGTGGCCGGCTGCAAGCCAGGCAGAGAGGCCTCAGGAGGAAGCAGAGGGACTTCAAAGCTCTGGCTTCCAGCAGTGTTTGGAGACCTGCTGTTCAGGCTCTGGCAGCCCAGGACTGCTCTGGGCTCCTCGGGAATCCCTGAGCCTCCTGCCCCTCCCCTGTCTGAGTGAACGAATCTTCAGGCTCTGTGACTCCTCCAGGGGTGGGTTAGACTAAATTTGAGCACAAGTCAGGCTTCTCTTGAACATTTTTTTTTTTTTTTTAATGTGCGGGGAGTGGAACAAGTGCTTCACCAATGAGCTACACTCCCAGCCCCTATTTTTCATTTTTAAACTTGGGAACACCAAAACCAAGTGTCTGTGTGCGCACTCGGGCAGTGCTGGGGATTGAATCCAGGAGCAATCTGCCTCTGGGCCACATCCCCAGCCTTTTTAAACAATTTTTACTTTGAGACAGGGTCTGCCTAAGTTGCTGAGGCTGGCCTCCCACGTGCCATCTGCCTGCCTGTCTCCCGAGCCACCTGGATGACAGGTGTGCACCACCACATCTGGCTGGTGAAATATCCTTTGTGCCCTAAAGCACCAGGTGAGCTATGGGTGCACACAGCGTAAGTGCACCGAGAACAAATCAAAAGAAGGCTGTTTTCTGTAACCACCAGACTAGCTGGTCCTGTCCCAGGGCAATAAAAAAACTGGGGTAAGGAGACATTATTGTTGCAACTTGCAAATCTCGCACAGTTCTCCTCGCAGCACACCTGCTTTGATCACTGGCTTTCACTAAACACGAGGGTGGTAACTGGTCAAGGAGAACTGGCAGTCCCCGGCTCTCTGCATGCCTGGGGCCCTCTCTTAGGAGACGGTGGTCAAGGTGAAGGAAGGCTCAGGGGAGCTGGTGAAGCACCAGGCATCACCTAGGAGGCAGGAAGACTGCCATGGTGCTGGGGTGCCAGGATGCAGCTGTCCACCCCACAGCCACCACACCACTGGGAGGCCAGTCCAGCTCTGACTTGGCACTCCCAGCTGGTTTCCAGTCTGAGGGACAGGATTGTTCCCAGTGACGGGCAGGACCCTGGGGGACACCTGCCTCTCCCACTCCTGGCTCCCTCACTCCAAGTTCCTCCTGCCTGTGGAGATGGTTCCAGCTGACCCTAGGGGAGGAAGGGCCTTGTCGGAGACTCACCCTGGTGGTTGGCACCCTCCTTAGGCAATGACTGTAAAGTGCATCTAAGGAGGATGCTCACCGGGCGCGCACCTGGCTCTCAAAGTGGACTTCCCGCCACTAAGCCCCTTGCTCCTCTGCCCTTCCCAGAGGACTTCTAGTAGGACTAGAAATTTATGGCTCATTGGGCCTTAGAACCTAAGGCTGCCAGTTGAAGCTGATTTTTTTTTTTTGGGGGGGGGGAAGTACTGGGAATTGAACTCAGGGGCACCCAACCACTGAGCCACATCCCAAGCCCTATTTTGAATATTTTTTGAGACAGGGTCTTCACTGAGTTGCTTAGTGCCTCACTTTTGCTGAGGTCAGCTTTGAACTCGAGATCCTCCTGCCTCAGCCTCCTGAACCATTGGGATTTCAGGCGTGAGCCACTGCACTTAAAATGGTTTTTTTTTTTTTTTTTTTTTTTTTTTTTAATTCTGAGACAGGGTCTCACTAAGTTCCTGAGGCTGGCCTCGAACATGTCGCACTCCTGCCTCAGCCTCCCAAGTAGCTGAATTACAAGTGTGTACCACCCCACCTGGCTTTTATAACCTCCATCTCAATGCCCGACATTTTCATACTTAATTAACATTTAATTCTGATTAAAGCAGTGTTCCATGGGGCACTTTCTAATGTGTCTTATATTTTGAGGTCTTACAAGGTGCTCCTCAAACAAAGAATCCCCGGATCTGCTAGGAACTGAATTGTCTTATTGAAGATGTTTCCAGTATGTCCCCGTGTAGGGAGGCTCTGGGAATCTGACCACCAAACACCTGCTGTGGATTCAGAGCAGCAGCAGGCCCCAGATTTATGTATTTGCAGAAGATTTTCTGGTACCGCCTGTTCACTTCCTGGAGAACTCTTGTCTCTCCGGGCACGGATTTCTTACCATCCTTACTTTCTAAATCAGTGTAGGACTCAAAAGGCAACCTGCCCTTGGAGTGTGATGGCCAGGGGGGCAGGCAGGAGAGCTGAACTGTGGCCCAAGGGCCACTCCTGCGCTGGCTGGGCTAAGAAACTGACCTGTCCAAGAGACAAGGTCCACTGCACCTGTCATGTGCACCTGCAGTCTCACCAGGAACATGCCCTTGGCATTCCTTGTGAGTCACTAGTTCCAAGCCAGGAAAAACTCACAGCTCATTATTCAAGAGAAAAATAAATGTAGACATATATACATAGAAACAGCAAATTCGGCAAAATTTTATCAATCTGGGGTCAATTTGCATAGAGTAGATGGGAATTATTTGCATTTTTTCCATGTTTTATGTAAATCTGCAAGGATCTCAAAGAGTTGAAGATGAAGAAAAAAGAAAATATCTTCATTTGAGCGGGTCCATTTTTATGTTAAATTTTTCCTGTTACTGCTTTTGGTGGAGGAAGTGGGGTATCAAAGTATGAGAGCCGGAGTCGCAGCCTGTGCAGCAGGGTTCTGTTCTTTTCAGAAAGCACAAGTGAGTGCTGTGTTACCCTGGTGAGAAACCTGACCTCTCTGATTCTCAGTGTGTGCCGCCGTGAAGGGAGCGAACACACCTTCTCTCGTGGCTCATGATTTTTGGGAAGACTCGGTGAGATCATGAAAGGCTAAGGAATCTGTGAATTATAAGGAGCAACGTAACTTAGAAAATACTGCTTACCAAAAACAAGTCCCGGATAAAGAACTTGGCTCTTGTGACTTTAGGGTCTTCTCCTGCATCTGGTGTCGCTGCGGAAATTAAGAATGGAGATTTAAGTGGTGAAAGAGACACGTGGGTGGAAACCAAGGAGGAACCGGAGCTGGGCTGCCCTGGTTACCGCGTCCACCACGCCAACAGAAGGCTCTTTCCTTCTCCCCCAGATCACTGACATGTCGTTCTTGGGCCTCTGACAAGGCCATTCTTTGGCAGTGCTGTGGCCTGAAAGTGTGTGTCCCTCCCAAGTTCTCTCAAAGCTCCAAAGGTCGGTCCTTTGGAAGGCCATTAGGTCAGGTGGGCTCGAGAACCAGGGAGGTTGGGCACACCTTCCACTGTGTGAGGATGCCGTCAGAGGCTCCATCTGTGAAGCAGAGACCCCAAATCTGCTGCTTCCCAGCCTCCAGTACAGGGAGCCAGAAATTCCTGATGTTTATAAACCACACAGTCTCAGGTATCTTGTCATAGCAGCCAAAATGGGCTGAGGGAGGTAGATACTCTCCACTCAGATAAAACGGGCGCACCTCCGTGCATGCTGACCACAGCTCCAGAGCCGGCTCTGTCCGCAGGCCTGCTCGGACAGGAAGACTGGCAGCCCTGGGCCTTCTGGGGTGAGGGTTGGCACCGGCTGCTGGTGTGACTGCAGCTGGCTTCCACCAGCCCTGCTCTGAGGGGCGGAGGGAGGGGGGCTGCAGCAGGCACTCTGGCCCTGGGTCCTCCTGAGATGGTCTGTGGTCCTGGGACTGGCCCCCCATTTCTGCACGTGGGACATCTGTTCTCCTGTGACTTGGGCTGCGTAGGTGGGCTCACCACTCTGCCTTCTCTACTGAGGGTCCATGAGGACATGGCCACTCTCCTGGGAGCGGGATGGCAGGTCTGCCCTCCAGACCGGCCAGGCTTGGCTGGAGGGAGGGCTGGGCAGGCCATGTCGGTGTAGCAGGCAGAGAGGGCAGCACCCCCAGCTCTCAGCTCAGCTGTGTGGGGCATCACTGAGAGCTTCCAATCCCAARTGACCCTAGGCACACCCCCAGTCCTATTTTGTATTTTATTTAGAGACAGGGTCTCACTGAGTTGCTTAGGGGCTCGCCATTGCTGAGGCTGGCTTTGAACTTGTGATCCTCCTGCCTCAGCCTCCCAAGCCACTGGGATAACAGGCTGCACCACTGCCCAATGGCCCTTCCCTGTGTTGCACGGGAGTGTGAACCATTTACAAGTGGATCCTAAGCCAGACATTGTAATACAGGTCAAGCGTCCTGAGATGCCTCAAAACCGAAGCTTTTTGAGCATCAACATGACACAAGTGGAGTATTACACGTCTGACCTCAAGTAACAGTTAACAGCCAAAACACAGGTGTGCTACAAACCTGCAACCTCACCTCAATCCGTGGTGTAAGGTGGACATGAAGCAATGAGTTCCACGGTCAGACCCGGGCCCATCTCATGATGGAGGTGCAAACATCCCCAAATCATAAAGCCCCTGGGGTCTGAAGCACCTCTGTCCTGTCCCTGGGTAAGGGTGCTGAGCCTGTGTGCCAGCACTTCAGATGGCGCTAGAGGAGAGGGCTAATGGGGACTGGTGGACGTCTTAGTTCAGGAGGTGTTTGAATGACTGGACCAGAGAAGTCGTCACTCCTCCGTCACAAGGACGTGCTGGAGCCTTACCGTCTTCGGGGACGGTGTAGTTGGCGTACTCTGGGAAATAGTCTTCGATCTTCGATTTCCCCGCTAGGACTTTTTCGGCCAGCATGTCCTGTTTGTTCAGGAACAGGATGATGGAGATGGTCCGCAGCCACCTGGAGAGCAGGAGACACAGACTTCACCTGTGCTGGGTGAGAAAGCTCCGGGCAGGGCTGTCGCTCAGAGGCAGAGCGCTCGCCCGGCACAGGCCCGCCCTGGGGTCGCCCCGACATTAAAAAACATTGTGTCTTCCTGGAAATGTACAGGATTCATTTTTTAAAAAAATTTACTTATTAATTTTTTTGGTACTGGAGTTTGAACCTGGGACACTTGACCACTGAGCCACATCCCCAGTCCCTTTTTCATTTTGAGACAGGGTCTTGTTAAGTTGCCCAGGCTGGCCTGGAACTCGCAATCCTCCTGCCTCAGTCTCCCGAGTCGCTGGGATGACAGGGGTGTGCCACCGTGCCCAGTGATGTTCAGGAGCTACAACTGTTTAGTACACCAGTACCCCCTTCCAGCTGTAAGCCAGGATAAACACTGGGAGTTAGTGGAGCAGTTCAGCATTTTCCAATTCAGCTTCACTGGGGACATAAATTTACTGGTACCAAAACCAAGATTCATTCATTAAACAGAGACAGTAGGATTTTTGTGGTGTAATTTACTAATAAAGGGTCAGAAGACTGACACTGGAAGAATCATTAACAACAGCAACAACAACATATCACGACTCATTAGCTCAAGGCAGAGCCTGGTGTGCCCCTCACTGGGTCTCCTCTGGAGCAGTGGCCTCCTGGGGCCAGGATGTCCATCAGATCTGACCCCTTGAATCTCTACCACCAGCTCAGTACAGGGCGGGGACATCTGGAGGGGTCTGTTCTCTCTGCCTCATGAAACAGTATCTGAGAACTGGCTCACAAAGAGTCTAGCAAAGCAAGGAATCAGTACCGCCTTGGGGGCCCTTGCTTCCGAGCTTACTGGTCAGCCCACAGTCATCTATTATAAACTAAAGCACAGGCCAGGCTTGTGGTGCAGCCCACAACCCCCACCACTTGGGAGGCTGAGGCCTGAGGATTCAAATTTGGGGCAAGGCTTAGCTATTTATCTAGACCCTATTTTGGAATAAAAATCTTTTTAAAAGGCCTGGGGATATAGCTCAGTGGTAAAGCACCCTCCCCCCCCCCGGGGAGGGGGGGCAGTCCCCAGGACCACACACACACACACACACACACACACACACACACACACACACAACAAAACCCCCAACCACTTCCACCACAAATGGAAATGGTGCATAGCTTCTTCCAGTTATAAACTACATAAGCTTTATAAAAAGGTTATTTTGAGAGTATTTTTCTATTATCTTAGATTAGTCTTAATTAAGATAATAACTTATCATCTTAAATTATAGAAAAATATTCAGAAAAGACTCAAATGTAATTACACCAGAGAAAATTACTATTAAACTGATCATGTTTTTACAACCAGGCTTTTCTTCTACTCTCACATATATTTATAAAATAAGAACATTTTTTTTTTCAAAACCACTTATTTTTGTTGTCTAGGTGCTGAGGGGGCACCCTGTGCATGCCAGGCCAGTGCTCTGTCTCTCCGCTGGTTCTGTGCCTGCTCCAAACTGCAGCACTGTGTCCTTCCTCCCGGGGGTGAGCAGCGGTGAACTTACAGCCACTCCAAAGCAGAGGCAGGGTTGGCATTTAGTGGCCCGATTTCTTTCCCATTAACTTCTTAGACCACAAAACTGAAGACAGTGTTGGACACTTGATAGAGATACTCTTCCAATGATCCAAGCCTTTTGCAGGGCTAACTTATATTCCTTGGGCTCCTTGGAGACACATCTCAATGCCATGTGAGTAAGCAGTGCCTGGGTGCTGGCACCCCGGCCACAATCACCTCGGCCACCCTGCAGTTGGTAGAATCAGCCTGGCTGCGGCTGTGGTTTTGAGATGCAAGGGCTCTTAGAGACCCTCAGTTACCTGTAGGTGCCTTTTTTTTTTTTAAACTGGGGATTGAACCCAGGGGTGCTCTACCACTAATCACACCCCCAGCTCTTTTTATTTATTTTGAGACAGGGTCTCCCTAAGTTGCTGAGCCTGGCCTCGAACTTGCCATCATCCTCCTGCCTCAGCTTCCTGAGCCACTGAGATTACCATCACCACACTCTGCAAGTGGCCAGCAAATGCTGGATTCCTAAAATTTAAGCATAGAACAAAATCAATTTTGAACCCCAGATGTAATCTCAGGATTTCAAAACAGGTCTGAAAAATGTCTTGACAAAGCACATTCTGTGTTTAATTGAGCACTTCCCTCATTGTCCACACACTAGATGGGTGAGGGAGGCCCTTCTTAGGATGGTTCAGGGTCGATCAGTGAGGACAGAGTATGTTTCGGGGGGAACAAACATGAACACATTCTTCATAAGAGAAGACATGCAGTCCGGTGTGAGACTGCGTGGGCCCCGCGTGACCTGTTGTTCCAGATGCTTTCAAACAGGTCCAGGGACTCTCGGAGCCGGTTGGTGTTGTTGTCCTCCCGGATCACCATGTTGTAACTGCTGCAGGCCGCCACGTAGATGATGGCCGTGACGTCTACATGGGGAACAGAGGAAAGGGAAGCCTGTGGTTAGACCGAGGCAGTGGTCTGGGGTCAGGGTCAAGCACACGCCTGGTAGCAGCTCAGGCCAGGGACCCGGCCGTCCACTGACCACTGCATGCGTGGTGTCTGGTGTCAGTGTACACCTCACGGGTTGCCCCCGAGAGAGGTCACTTTGGGATGCTTAAGTTCTTTGTGAGATTTGTGTTTCAGGAAGAAGCACAATGATCTGATAAAAAATGCTGCAGTTTGGCTGGGCACAGCGGTGCCCGCCTGCCCCAGAGGCTCCGGAGGCTGAGGCAGGAGGATGGCAAGTTCAAAGACAGCCTCAGCAACTGAGGGAGGCCCTAAGCTACTCAGTGAGGCCCTGTCTGTAAATAAAATATAAAAGAGGGCTGGGGATGGGGCTCAGTGGTTGAGTGCCCCTGAGTTCAATCCCTGGTACCAAAAAAAAAAAAAAAAAAGCAGTAGTTTGCATCCTAGGTAGGGGAGGATATCCCACTCAACGCAGTCCCACGGGGCTTGCTGAGCTGGCCCTCTCCCGGGTCCTGAGGGTGCGTGAAAATCACCGTTGAAACACTGGATCCATTTCCTTCTCTCGTCCCTCTGGCCACCAACGTCGAACATGCTGTGGGGAGCAAGGGGAGACTGTTGGGGGCAGCAGGAACCCGGGCGTGCCCACCTTCCTCCTCTGCTGTCAGAATGTCCCCGTTCACAAAGCTGCATCTGCCTCATCAGGGCCACGCGTGGGGCTGCCAGCTCTGTCCCTCCTCTGTGGCCCTGCACAGTGGAGGCTCAGGGAGGGCTCAGACAGGCAGCAGCCTGCAGTGTGCAGGGGCACATAGTAGGTGCCTTATAAATGCAGTGGTTTCTAGTTCACACCACATCCTACGCAGACGTGGGGGCCTCTCTGAGTACATGCCAAGTGCCCACCCAGGGTAGCTCAGGTGACCTGTCCTGGCTCTCAGACATGGTCTCTCTCCTCCCCTGGACAAGGGAGAAAGGCTCCCTGCCCTCCCAGCTGTGTCTATGTCCCTCTGGGCCACTGCAGGCCTCTTCCTGGGCCTGCAGTGGGTCTGGTCCCCTCCTGCATCAGTCCAGATCCCTGGGCCGCCCAGGTCTCCCTCGGGGGCCTCCCCTGCAGCTCTCCAGGCAGCACCCCTCCTCCACACCCCCCAGGCTCCTGGCTAAGCCAGACTTGGGCTCTGGGACCACGCAGTCTGTACCAGCTGGCCCGGCAGGCTCATCAGCGACCCTACAGATTTCAGCCTGCTTTGCCTTAGCACATGCTAAGGTGCTTGATGAGCAGCTAAGCCGCAGAGCAGAACACTGTTCAGCAAACCCTGCTGCAGTGGGACGTCTCCTTGTTAGTAAGTCCCCATGCCCGGGACCTGCTGCGGTGTGGGTCACTCCATGACTGTACAGCTCTGACCACAGCGTGGACCTAGCCGGGCTTTATCCAGCCCACACGGCCTGACCATGTCCTGCTGGGTTCTCAAGAAATGCAGAGGAAGTGCACATGCCTGCCCGTGGAAAGTTCTGGGCATCGTGGGAGTCCCGCTCAGGGCCCTCACTACTGACTTGCCACTGAGGTGACGTGGGCAGGGGACAGGAGCATGTTCTCAAGTTGCTGAGCCGCACAGCAGATGTAGCAGAAGCTCCAAGGAGCCAGTGCGCTGGGATTTGAAGGCTGCTTTGACGGATCTGTAGGGTTTGCTTAGCCAGGCAGCATCCAGGGCTTGGAGGACTGGGTGAGCAAAGGCACTGTGGCAGGGGAGCTGGGTGAACTTTGAGGACAGTGACCTGGTACAACCTGGTGAGGTAGAAGACTGGCCAGGCCTATCCAGGTGGTCTGGGTGGGAAATATGAGGGGGCTAGGATGGGCAGTGCAAACGGCTTTGTGGATGGAGAATCAACTGAGGGTCTCAAGGGAGGAAAACAAAGAAATAGGTTCATTCAGTGAAGTTTGTGCATGGACAGCGGGAAGAGCCCCCCCAGGGGTGTGGATGGGGGAAGAGCCCCCAACGGGGGTGGACAGGGGGAAGTGCCCTTCAGGGGAGTGGACAGGGGGATGAGCCCCCGCAGGGAGGAGGACAGGGGGAAGAGCCCCTCAGCGAGATGGACAGCAGAAAGTGTCCTCCCAGTGGGGGGGACAGGGGGAAGTGCTCCTCAGGGGGTGGTACAAAAGAGGTTGCTGGCTTCAGTTCTCAAATTCCTGATTTAATCCAAGGGCCAGTCAAACCTGCGACCAGGGTGAAATGTCCCTTTCCTTTAGGGGAACACTTCAGAATACTACTACTTGAAAGTAGGTGGTAAGATGCAAGATGCCCACCCTGGCTTGAGATCAGATTTCACCCAACAGCCTCACCTGAAAGGATCAGTCTCGTTCAGGCCCCTCCAGCCCCAGGGCGGGGTCCTGGGACCCCGCCCTCCATCCCACCTGAGGCTCCCCTCTGAACAACATACTCACTGAAAATTCACTTTGTCCACTTGGAATCGTGTCTCGAAAATTCCCGATGTCAGCACCCTGCACCTGAGGAGGTCCTGGGAGCAAGGAGAGAGAAGCCAGCTCAGCCCTGCCCTGCTGTGACCATGGTGACTGACCCTTTCAAAGGACAATTTCTACTGTAAAAAAGCAGTAATAGCTAAAGACTCAGATGAACGCTCTGTCTTATCCTCCAGGGAAAATCCACAGTGAATGTATAGATTTGGTCCCAAAGACTTGAGAACTGTGCTTTTCTTTTCTGTTTTTTTTTTTTTTTTTTTTTTTTTGGTACTAGGGATTGAACTCAGGGGCACTCAACCACTGAGCCACATCCCAGCCCTATTTTGTATTTTATTTAGAGACAGGGTCTCACTGAGTTGCTTAGTGCCTCACTTTCTCTGAGGCTGGCTTTGAACTCCTGCCTCAGCCTCCTCTTTTTTCAAAAACATTCCCGGTGGTGAACATCTTGCGACTGCTTTGCCCCTGACAACTGAGTCACAGCACTCGCCTCTGGGTAGAGCACCTCTGCTCCTGTTCAGCTCTGGGTGAAGAATACTTTCGGAGAGAAAGTAACTCTGCATTCACAAACCAGGGACCATAAGACTCGATTACAGATTTGCTCCCTTCCTTCCTTGAATATCTCTTTTCTCTAAGATCTAAGATGACATGGTCCCCAGGGGATGGAAAGCCAGGGGGTTTCACTAAGGGGACATCTCTGCTTCCCAGGCAACCTCAGGGTCTTCTCTTCAGCTCCACCTTTGTGATGTTGATGAAGCGCTCACTGTGCTGCCGTTCTGGACCGAGAGAGGTGGTCCTGCCATTTTACACAAGGAGGAGTGTTTAGGACAGGCCTAAGGGATCCATCTGAGGTTAGGAAGCCCAGAAGGCTGCAGATCATTTTAAGCCCTTGGAATTGGCTTCAGGGAGAGAGGGACCTTAAGGGAGAGAGAGGACCTCAGGCTTCCAGGGAGGGGAGAGGAGGGAGCCTCCAGGGGCCCCAGGCTCAGGCCCCAGGGATGCAGCTCTGGGGGGGCCTGAATGCATCCCCTCCTATCCTCCTTGGGGCGCACCAGCTCTGGAAGGCCTGGTGGCTGTGGAATTGAGCCACCTGGGCACCCGTCTCTGCACATGCCTGAAGCCTCTGTGCCTACAGTTTGCTCAATCCAAGGGAGACCGTCGGGCACACCTGCAGTGTCCTATGGGACCCCACTGGGCCCAAAGCAGAGAGGCCCCATCCACAAAGGGGAGTTGAAGCCTGGCTTTCCTGCTGCCTGGGCTTCTTTCCAGGCCCGGGAGCAGGGGCTCAGGCTTGGTGACAGGCTGAGGACACTGGCATGCACAGTGAGCATGCAGCAGGCATCTGAAGGATTTTTTTCTTAACCTGTTTTAAAACGGTCACTGAGTCTCTGGGAAGTTGGCCACAGGCTTGCACAGGGTGCTGCTTGCCTACCTGGTCAGTGGGAGTGTAGTCCACCAGGCTGACACTGTCGATTCTCTCCAAGAAGCTGCAAGAAAAGCCATGTACGCTCAGCGGCAGGTTCTGATGCCTGTCCCCTGGGTTGGGGACACATGCTCAGGGCAGAACAAAGTGAAAAACCAGCCTCTACCTCAGAGCAAAGCCTGTCCAAGGACTGACCTTTGTCCTTGGAAAGACCCACAGAGCACTCCTAGGCACATTCCCACCCTGCTAAGTGGTTTATCTACAAATAACAGGAGAGATCTGCTGCCCCAGGTGTCCCTGACTTAGGCTAGGTGGGGATCCATAGCAGCCCCCTAGCAGCCACCAATCAGACTGAGACAGGGAAATACCTGGGATGCCAGATGACCCCCCAGTAGTTTATGGTGGTTGATAACGTGTTGGGAAACCATGTAGTTCAGCATGTACACCCCTCTTGGCTTAAACCAATCAGTTCAAATGCATACCCCTCTTGTAGTAACCAATCTCCCTTACCCAACTTGTTCCTGCCAGTGAATGTGCTAATCATGTTTTAGAGTTGTTATTTGATTTTCCCGCCGGTGTGTGATGGTTTGCTAAAAGAGGTTACGATGTATGTGAAGTCCCTGCCTTCTTCAAAGAATGTATAAAAATGCTGCAAACCCTGGGCTCGGGGCCTCTCATCGTCACCAGTTGCTGTGTGCACGCAGAGGACCGAGCTAGCTCGTAATAAACACCTCTTTGCTGCTTGCATCGATCTTGGGTCTCTGGTGGTCTTTTGGGGGTCCCTAATTCGAGCATAACAAAAGCACACGAGGACTGGGCGGGCTGAGAGCTGAGGTCACCGCCCACCTTCCTTCCTGAATGCATCGGACTGGATAATGCTACTGTCCTGCCGAAGAGCAGAGGCCTGATTCTGGTGTGTGTGTGTGTGTGTGTGTGTGTTGGGGATGAACCTGGCTTCCCACAGGCAGGGGCAAGCACTCTGCCCTTGAGATAAAATTCTAAAAATTTTGAGAAAGGGATTTCCTAAATTGCTGAGGCTGACCTTGAACTTGGGATCCTCCCACTTCAGCCTCCCGAACAGCTGCGATTACAGGTGTGCACCACCATGCCTGTCTTTTCTCTTTCTTCATTTTAACCTCTACCTTCCCTCTTTCTTCTTCCCCAGTCCTACAGGGTTGGGGAAAGGGCCAACTGGAAAATGAGGAAATGGGGGGCCTCCTTTCCAAAGAGAAGACAGTAGAAGTCATCGTGATGTAAATAAAACATGGAAGTTGAGAGATGACCAAAGCCTGTGTGGGAGGAGAGTTATATTGTGCCCGTAGAGACACTGCAGAGCTAGGACCCAGGTGACAGGGCAGTGAGAAGCTGGTGGCCTCTTGAGAATGGTAGTGTGGATCCTTGTAGCTGCCACTGCCTTCCTGGCTGGAGGAGGGAGGGTCTGCCCCAGCTGAGGCCGGTTTGAGAATAAGAGAGGAGGTTGGCTCAGTGGCACTGGCCTCCAAGGTGGCCGTGGTAGAGAGCACGAGGGCAGGACGCCCCGAGTCCCCCTACCCCAGGAGGAAACATGAACAGAAGTCCCTGCCTGTGGCGGGCGCTCAGGCCTGGGGCTGACAGCCGGCTGCTCCCCAGGCCCCGGTGCTCTCAGCATTGACCCAGATGGCCCTGCTGATTTGACACTGGCACCTGGTGCTGAGCACTCCAGGCAGACTCAGCTCCCTGGAGAAGGGAGCAAGGCCGAAATTAAACTGGCACCCAGGATGCAGGGTGTAGGAAGCAATTGACTTAAAATGGATGCACTGGGGCGGAGGCGCCCGGGAGAATGTATTCAGATGGTAATAACCTGTATGAGCAGAAACAGTTGAGAGAGGTTGACAAAAAGCACATCTGAGGTTCTGCTCCAGAACGCAATTAAACACTGCCTTCCAGAGGAAGTGGTGGGAGAACCGTGCTGAGCCACTGTCCTGAGATGCTGGTGGGTCTCCCCCCACCTCCAGGGCAGGCATTGGGCTGCCTCCAGTTTGGCCGCCTGGCCCACGTCCAGGGCTGCCACAGAACGACCTCACTGGGGGCTCCTGAGGTTACATACAGAGGTGAGCCACAAAGGGGACTTGAAGTCACATAGTCTTGCACATGACCACATTTGAAAGGGTTATAACATTGTCTCCTTAAAAATGCCACTGCACTCTATGAAGAAAAATTAAGGAAATCTAAGAATTCCTCTTGCAAACCTTTGACTACGAACTACATACAGAGCTTCAAAACATCATCAAACTGTGAAAAGTCACTTCTGCAGGAATGGAGGTGCGCATGTGCAGTCCAGCAGCTCAGGAGGCTGGGGCAGGAGGATTGCAAGTTGGAGGCCAGCCTGTGAAACTTAGTGAGAGTCTGTCTCACAATAAAAGAAAAAAGCTGTGTGTGGAGCTCAGTGGTAGAGGACCCCTGAGTTCAATCTTCAGTAACCACACCCTCCCCCCAAAAGTCACCTGCATTGTTGAGAATGTAGACAATGTACCTTTTTCTCCTTTTCCCTTTGAAACCTCAGATTACATCCCCATGGAACTCTCTCCACCTGGCACTGAGGCATGCTCTGTTTAGCAGAGTGCACGGCCTTTCATTGTGATTCACTCCCTTCTTAGAAGTGGCGATAGGAGACACATGAAGCATGTGAGCTACACTCATCTTTTTTTTTTTTTCCTTTAAAGACACAAAATGCAAAACCAAACCAAACCAAACCAAACAAAAAATTGCAAAACATTCCTATATTGTCCAGGCTGGTTATTGAACTCCCAGGCTCAGCCTCCAGAATAGATGGGGTTACTGGTCTGTGCCACTGCCCACCTTGCACCAATCTTTTTTTTTTTTAAATATATATTTTTAGTTGTAGATGGACACAATACCTTTATTTTATTTATTTTTTTATGTGGTGCCAGGGATCACACCCAGTGCCTCGTGCATGCACGGTAAGTGCTCTACCACTGAGCCCCAGCCCCCTTACACCAATCTTAAGTGTTCAGTTTGATCTTTTTTCACACCCATGTCCATATTTCCTTTTATGTGCATGTCTCATCTAGTATTAGTGATGCTTAAGGGCAGACACTAAGTTTTTTAATCTCTAGAGAGAAGTGTCACGTAGCTGGTGCCTGATACATTTTGATCTGGTCTTTCACCATGTCCCATCATTCTGAATAAATACCGCTGACCTGTGTGTCCTGAGACTGTTCTGGTAAGAGACAGACTGCCAGCCCCAAGGAGAGGGACAAACATTTCCATCTGGACCAGTGCCGTGAAGGGCAAGAAAACAGGGCTCCCAGCACCATACCCGGGGCTCTACCTGTGCTCACCACGGCTGTTCCCTGCATCCACTGTTGCCATCAGGGAGCTCCCGGCACTGTCAAGAGAGCACCCCAGGGAGGCACACTTGCCCTGGTGCACCAGGAGCTCACGGTATCAGGTGCCAGGCCAGAGCAGACCCTGTGTGGTCCTGCATCCGGTGGAATGACATCTAGCTGTGCAAAGGTGGACTTCGGGAAACCAGGCAGGCATTTGCTAATGGATTAAAATCAGTTAGTTGTTTACAAACATTACAGAGGCCTGTTCATCAGTTTGTTCAAAGTCCCTGGCTTGTAACTTTTGTTAATGGTACCAAAGATTCGAATTTGGGTTTTGGCTACAGAAACACCTTCCAGGTGGTGCTTGTGTACTTCAGATGGAAGGAACCCCTCACTTCAGCTCTTAGTGGGACGAGCTGACCCTGATATCACAGGCAGTAAACAAGATTATCAAATGGACAGTGTGCAGACCTTGTGGTAGGTCCTGTTGAAAGGCATACAGGGTGGCCTGAGGCTTGCTCTGTTAGGAAAATAGCTTTAGTTAGAAAGGTCTTGGCAGATACATCTGGGTTGCTGTATTTAAATAAGTCAAAATTGAAGGAAAGTTAAGTTTGTGTACCTGTTTAACTCTATGTTTCTCCCCATTCTTTTTTTTTTTTTTGGAAATTGAATCCAGGGGTGCTTTACCACCAAGCCACGTTCACAGCCCTTCTTATTTATTTTTGAAACAGGTATTGCTAAGTTGCCAGGCTGGTCTTAATTCAGCACCAGCCTCCAGAGTTGCTGGGGTTACAGGTGTGGCCGCCACACCTGGCTTTCCTCAATAATTCAAACCTCAGGTTAGAAACTGCATTTGAAAGCAGGAAAATAAGACTAAAAGTAATGTTAGTAGTTGCATGAACTGCTTTCCCTGGTGTGTTTAAATTGGACCCAGTCATAGGCTACTGTCTTTGGTCTAGAGACATTTCAACAGAAGATCTTGTTGCCAGGAGAGAAATGAATTACAGTAGATGGGGTAGAGAGAGAAGATGGGAGGGGAGAGGAGGGGGGATAGTAGGGGATAGGAAAGGTAGCAGAATACAACAATTACTAATTGGGCATTATGTAAAATTGTGGATGTGTAACCGACGTGATTCTGCAATCTGCATTTGGGGTAAAATTGGGAGTTCATAACCCACTTCAATCTAATGTATGAAATATGATATGTCAATAGCTTTGTAATATTGTGAACAACCAATAAAAAAAAATAAAATTAAAAAAAAAATCTTGTTGCCAGGAAGAGACAATTACTGTAAAGAAGGGATAGACAAGGCTTCGAGGAACGTGCAAGATAATGCCATATTGACCACACAGGAGCTCAGGTGGGAAGACCAGGTTGGGGGGGGGGGGCTGGTCCGGTCCGGTCAAACACCAGGCTTTTTGAGCGAAATCTACCTCTGGATTCTTTTTCTTTTTTTGTGTGTGTGGGCTGGTGCTGTACTCTGAGCTACATCCCAGCACATAAGCAACTTTTTAAATAGGACCCATACTCATATGCAATAACGTGCAGTTTAAAACAATTTATTTAACAAAATCTCTGTGATTTACATCTTATCATTGCATCAACTCCAAAAGTGAGGAAATAATTCATGGGCCTGTAGTGGTGCTTTTGAAAATAATATTTGATTCATAAAAAATGTACATTCATATAGTATGAAATGAACATATTTTAAGAAAGTTCAAGCATATACAAGAATTGTTTAATCTTACAAAAAATATTTTAATGGGAATATCTGCACTACAAAAGTGTCTTCAACATACCAAAGAATTCAACACTAAGCTATTTTTTGAGTTCTAATTATAATTTTCCAGTCCAAAGAGGGTTTAAGACACATGCTGTACTCACATCAGGCAGGCTTTGCGAAACCAAGCGATGAGAGGACACCCGACCTGCTAAGGGCCTGTGACAGAAGACTCTGGGCAATCGACAAGAGTCCCGTAGAGCAGACTTCTGAACAACACCCCGGCAAATATACTTTAAAAAACTTACTATGAAGGTCAGTCCTCATCTGCCTATGCTTCTTTTTTCCTTAAACATTCATTCACACTGGAAAACATGTTATCTATGTGTACTTGGTGGTGAATCTTTCAAAGAGCTTGGAAAAGTCCCTATTTTCAGAAATACCGGAATTCTCTTAGGGAGAAATCTTCCAGTGAATGAAGGAGAATTTTAAAAACTTACAAGTATTTAACATAGTTTAATTTAATTGCCAAGCAAAATAAGTGCAATTCTCCCTGTTCTGAGCCCAAGCAGAGTGGAGAAGGCCTGCTTTGCTCTTCAGCCAGACACACAGCCTTGGGAAATGACCCAGCCCCGAATGCAGTTCAGACCCCCAGCCCTAGCTGGCTCCCCTTCCCACACTTCCAGCTGGCCGGAGGAACATGCCTTGTTTGCATGGCTAAGTCAAACATTACAACTTGTATTTTTAAGGTTTTTAAAGTTGTTACTTTAAGACAAATAACAAATGAAAATAATTAGAACTTAAAATAATTAGAACTAATTTTATTTCATTTTTGGTTGTTAAAATAAAAATGAAACCTATAAACATACAGTCCCAAGGTTTCCCCAGACCAATCAGCTGTTCTTTGGCAATGTTAGGTGTGTAAAATGACTATCATGCTAATTAACATACTTTAAGGAGAAGTCTGATTAAAGTGATGACATCGTGAAATAACTAGGAAACTGTCAAACATTACATCTAAGTCCTTTAAAAAACTCTCTGTAAATAGAAAATATAAATGAACAAATTTATTTTTCCCAATAAATTAACTTTTGTGGCATTTTTTCCAGTTACACAAACTCCATTATCACATGAAAATTTATAGAATGTAAACAGCAAGAGAATATTATTTTAAGATCTAAGATAATTTTAGAGTAAGTTATGAGAACAAATAGTCAATTGTAGTCTTGCTTTGATGGCAAAAACCAAACAAATCAAAATCGAAAGAAAGGCTATACAGAAACAGCACTGCCGACTGAACGAAGTGTTTATAGCTGTGTAATCAAAATAATCATCCCCTTCTTTAATTCTCACGGACCACCTGTCACTCGGTGTGCCACCAAACACGCGACACACGCGCACACACACACTTGGCCTCGGATGGGACCCTCCTCGGTAGGCAGCGTCACCGAGGGGCCGAGATCCACGCCCACCACTCAACCAGTTCTGTTAAAAGGCGGCTATAAAAATACACGTCACCACGAGCGGCAGCTGCTGGGCGGAGGCGGCCTCGCGGGCCTGTCCGCGGGCCTCCTGCGGCAGCCTCCGGCCCGTCACACCTGGTCGCGCAGGCGGGCCAGTCTCTGCGACAGCTCGTCCTGCTCGGCCGAGGCCACGCTGGTGCCCACGGAGCCGGTCTGGCCCTGCGGCAGCTCCATGTTGAGGTCGAGGCCCGCCTCGTCTGCCATCTCCTGGAGCAGCAGGTCCACCTGATTCTGGGGAGTGGTCAGCGTCGTCGTACTGCTCATCGTGTCCTCCATCTGCTGCGTCTGGACGTCCAGGGTCTCGAACTGGTGCTCGAACTTGTCCATCAGCGCGGAGATCTTCTCCAGGTTCATGGTCTTCAGCGTCGCGTCCATGGACTTGACCACGCCGGCCATCGACTTGGTCACCTTGCCCATGGTCACGGCCGTCTGCACGCGGGCGGCCACGGCGTCCACGCGCGCGCTCATCCTTAGGAAGTTCACGGCCTGGTTCTTCTGGCGGATGGCGTTCTCGGCGTGGATCCGGGCCACTTCCATGTTGCCCTTTTGGATGGCCTTCTTGATCTTGGCCTTTTCGGCCTTCTCCTCCTTATCGCACTTCTTGGCACTCCTGCTCAGTTCTTTGGCGGCGAACTTCAGGTTGAACAGGTGCTTCTCCATGTTGGACATGGCGGGACGCCGCCTCGGGGTCGGCGGCCAGGGCCCGGGCTTGCGCGGAAGCGAGGCGAGGAGAGGCAGGTCCGCTCCCGGCAGCCGCTCCTTTGTTTTGGTCCTACTTCCTGCTTCCACCGCGCGCGACGCAGACGGTGACGTCAGAACTAGGCGCCGGGGCGGGGCCTGCGGGACCGGGACTGCGAGCCGAAGGGAGCCAGGGGCGTGCCCTGCGTGGCGCGAGGCGCGGAGAGGAAGGGCGGGGTGACGGGTCGGAGGGCGCCGGGGGAGGGGTCTGCGTGACGCACGGCGCCTCGGGCGGAGCTGGCTGGACCGCCGACGCCCGCGCTGTGCGCGTCGCCCATTTACTGACCCGAGCGCTGGCTCCGCGCGGCTTGAGAAGCGTTAGCCCGTTTCCAACTTCACCGGAGCGGCGCTCGCAGACGCTGGCGTAGGAGTACGTCCTCTGACGTAAGCGGCTACGCTCGGACCTGCACGCCAACGCAGCCAGGCGCCAGGCCCGCCGGGCTTCGGCAGAGGGTCTGGCCGGGGCTGGAGACCCGCAGGAGACCCGGCGAGGTCAGCCGGTGGGAGCTCTCTGATTGACGTGGGCGCTCTCTGATTGACGCGGGCAGCTCCGCTTTCTCAGGGGAACCTGAGACGGTGGATGAAGGCAGGGTCCGCGCTGACCCACGGTTTGCGCTGCAGAGCGCGGCGGGTGGGAAACCTCAAAACCGAGGCGCTCCGACTTCAGCAACCATCACCCCAGGTCGGCCCGTGGCTGAGGAATAAGAAGACCTGGCTTCTGCTGACACGAGTCTGTCTTTTTGATGTTTTATAAAATACCCAAGGAACTTCAGTCACATTCCAGGTTGACAGGCAGAGGACGGCGAGGTCCGGAACCCCGCACACGGGCATGAGTCACAGCTGTCACTGGGTATCTTCCCCTTTAACAGTAAATGCAGCTTTTGGATGGCAGCAGTGCGCACCGTGACTTTTCCCATTAGAAAAACCCCTCCCACGTAGCAAGAACGAAAGGCAAGGGACGTCCAACCTGTCCGGATGACCTAGGCTGCAGGGAATACTCAGAGGATCCTGTTTACAAGTCATTTCCTCTAGAGTCTCCATATCTCTGGGGCTTCTTGGGCTAGTTTCCCAGTCAGTTCAAGGGGTGCCAGTGCCGGGTGCATCCCCTTGAAGCACAGCTCTGATGATATCTCTTGCTCCAGACATGCAGGTTACACTCCTATGGGGCATCCTGGCTCCTTTCTTTTGCTGCCCGATGCCAGTCAAACCAGGCGGAAGCATGGAAGCTGCTAGTCGGTTGAGTCACTGGACCAAGGCAGAGGATGAGACATGTTGCTCCTCCCCATGTCCTGGGTTTTCTGTCCACCACTTTGCCACCTCCTCCATGAAGCCTTCCCAGGACTCCCTCATGTCCCCTGAGTGCTGCTACTGTATTCTGTGTGGATACCACAGCACAGGGCATATGCCTGGCTCACAACAATTATACATGAGCTACTTGGACGCAAAGAATATTCTCATTTTGATTGCATGTGGACTACTACAAGTGCTCAGAACACCCCAGGCACTGTGTGCAGTAAGGCTTTGCTGATTCCAGCTGTCACAGATAGGGGCTGGGACATGACCCTAATTAGCAGCTTAACAGATTCCCCTGCCTCAAAGCAGAACTCTTTCTCCAGAGAAAACTTCTAGAAATGTGATATAGAAATGAGTAAGAGGGAAGAAATCTCTCTGAAGTGGGGATGGAGCGTGGAGGGCCCCTTCTCACCCTCCCCTCCTTTCAGCTCCCTGGCTCTTCTTTCAGTTTGCAAAAACAGTTTAACAAACATGTTTTGTGGGGATTTTTTTTTTTTTTTTTTTTTGGTACTGGAGATTGAACCCAGAGGCACTCTACTACTGAGCTACATTCCTAGCCCTTTTTATTTTTTTATTTTGAGATAGAGTCTTACTAAGTTGCCCAGCGTGGCCTCAAACTTGCAATCTTCCCACCTCAGCCTCCTGAGTAGCTGGATTTGCTGGTGTTCACTATGCGTACCTTCTTAATAACAAATTCTAATTAGGTGAGATGGTTTGGAATATAATCATGAGAGATGATGATGATTGTGACAACTACCATCTATTAAGGACTATGTGCCAGATATTGTTCTAGGTGCTTTCCACGACTTAACTCGCAGCCCCTGTGAGGTGGATACTGGTAACATTGCCAGCCTGCAGATCAGGGAAGGGAAGCACAGAGCCCAAAGGAATTTGTCCAAGACCACACATCTGGTTACATGGCAGAAACCAGGTTCCGTGGATGTGTGAGGACCAGGAACAAAACAATGGGGCATCTGTTCCAGGTAGGTTAGGGAAAACAGAGGATGCTCACTTGGCCTAAAAGAGGGAGGCGACTCAGCAGCTGTCGTGTTGAGAAGAAGGAGGGTTGTGTGGACTGTAGGGACTGCAGGGTCAATGTTCGCTGCAGTGTAGCTGCTAAAAGAAGGTGCCACCACCTGAAGCTGCTCATGGAATGCCCGGGCCCCACCCTGGCTGGACAATGTACAAAGAAAGGGGCAGAGTTCAGAAGCCAGTCAGAGACGGGGTGACAGACCTGGAGGAGAAGGCTCAGTCACCTTGGCCCCTGCTGTCCCCACCCTTCTGGGGAAGTAGCCAAGCCCTGCCTCTAGTCCCTGCCCTCAGGGGTCCCACCTTGCTAGCAGGATCTGGAGCAGGTTTTCCCTCTGAGCTCTCCATCTCCTTGGCCCAGGATAATCTGTGACACAAGACCCTTCGCAGCTCCTCAGGGTGACTCAACTCAGTCCTTGCCCCCAAAATCTCCTCATCTCCACTTAGCCATGGCACCCCCTCCATGGGTTCTTCAGGTCAGAGTCTTAGGAACCCCCTGATGAGGCCTCACCCACATCTGTGTCTAACGCATCTCCATCTCCACGTGTTTCCATTCTCTGCCCCCTGCTGGAGGTGACAGCCTTAAGCCTGTCTTACACTCGTGTGTGTGTGTGTGTGTGTGTGTGTGTGTGTGTGTGTGTGTGTAACGAGCAAAGGGAAGATTATTTGGTAATTACTGTCAAAAGAGACTTCAGGCCTATGACAGTTAAGATTGCTCCTAAGAACCTGCAGGATCTAATATGGGGGATGAAAGTGTAGTTCAAACCACTGGATAGCCGTGGCTGTGGCTCCCGGCACCCCTAGCCAAGCAGATCTTTCTCAGTGAAGAGAAGTAATGTTCTGTTAGACTGCCAACATTTCCAGAAAGCTGTGAGTCAAACCAGTTAATTATTTTCATTATAACATGTTAGGAAATATATGGTATAATTTGGAACTTTTATTTCCCTCTTTTTGAACCCATATAGGTGTTTAATCTTCAGATACACAGGTAGGATATGAGATCCGATTTCATTGGGAAAGAATGAATCATTTGCTAAATCTAAAGACATTAAAAAAAAGGAGAAAATACAAAATTTACTTTTGTCCCATGTGTTAAAATATTTCAGGAGCCTGGGCTTGGGCTGAAGCTCAGTGGTATAGCATGAGGCCAGTACACGTGAGACCCTGTGTGTTTCAGATTCTCTCAGCCACCGAGTCCTCCCCACCACGACTGCACCCATGCGGCTCTGTAGGTGTCCTAGCTCTGCAACAGCCCTTCCTTCCCCCAGCATGGGGCATACTGGCTTACCACTTGTCCCTGTCCTTCTGCAACATAGCAGATGCTCCATGAGCTCCTGCTGAATGCGTGAATGCAGGTAAAGGAAACAGTTCTGTGTACACAGCCACTTGGTGACCATTTCAAGGACTGTGACTACGTGTATGTGTGTCATATGATACATGCATGTGTTGATATATCCCATATGTCACACACATGTACACATGTATCTAAATTTCCCCCATATCACTGTTCTTTTCCAGTGCTAGGGATCAAACCCAGAGCCTCAGGCATGCTACAGAAGCACTGTACCCCTGAGCTGCATCCCATCATTCATCCATCTACCATCGGTCTGCCTATCTGTCACCTTTTTATACAGGAGCACAGCTGTAATTCAAAATCCTAAGACTCCTCAAAGTTTATACAATCTCATGGTCACTACACTCAGTTTATGTTAGCATGATGTCAAGTTTAACCAATAAAAGCAAGGAAGCATCAGCAGGGAACAGAGCCGAGGCATGACAGTGGCCGGCACTGCTTTGTCGCTCCTCAGAGGCCTGGTGACTCGGTTCTGGATGGAGAAACCTGCTCCAGGAGCCCTGAAGGCCTAGTTTGGCATCTACCACTATACTAACAGAGGGATCTACTTCTCTTCCCTGAACAACTTACTGATTTGGTAAGTTTGGGATGGAATCTAAATGCCCTGCTCCTCTAAGACAGTTCAGAATTTCTTTTGGCACTGAGTAAAAGCAGTGACCCCCTGACCCTGGGCCTTCATGGTGGGCAGGCTTTATTCTGTCTTCCTTGGAGTAAAGAAAAATCTGACTGGGCATGGTGGTACAAGCCTATAATCCCATCCCAATGTGGGAGGCCAAGGCAGGAGGACTGCAAGTTACAGGCCAGCCTCAGCAACTCAGTGAGACCCGTCAAAGAATAAAAAATAAAACAGGCTGGCAGTGTTGCTCAGTGGTTACAAAAAGGATACAAGACCGCTCGCCGAGGTTCCTCGGAGTGACTGAAAGCCACCTGCGCACACTGTGTTCACGTCAGACTCCACATCTGTGGAAATGGGAATCATGAGCATGAACTAAGGAAATGTGGTAGGAAACTGGAGACCCACGTGTTACTTGGTCTGTGAAGCAGGCCACATGTTTTCCTTTCTGTTCCTTGCTGGCCATCTTATTATGTCCCTTTTTTCCCTTTAGGAAAGCTGTTTCCCTGCAATAGCTGACAGTTGCCTGGCCGTCTGTGGGCAATACCTGGTTCATCCCACCAACGGTTCTGACGCACACTGACCTCGTGACCACACACCCGAGGCTGGACAGGGCAGCACACTGACCTCGTGACCACACACCCGAGGCTGGACAGGGCAGCACAATAACCTCACAACCACGTGCCCAAGGCTGGGATAGGGCAGTAGACTGACCTCACGACCATTCCCTGAGGCTGGACAGGGCAGCACTGGCCCCCTGTGGTGCTGCTTTGC